AGCAGGCGTTCTACTACTCGAACTGCCCTTCCAGTCCATTTTGCTCTAGTTATTTTGGAGATGGGGTTTCACAAACTGTTTGCCTGGGCTGGCCTTGAACAGAGGTGAGAGCCTCCCAATTTCAGCCTCCTAAGTAGCTAGGATTACAGGTGTAAATGACCAGCACCTAACTAACTGTGTTTTTTTAAGGTCAGTTTTATTAATGTATGTTGCCTATGTTTTACATACAATAAAATTCTCCCTTTTATGTAGAAATTCTACTTTGCAGTTTGTTTTCCTTCCTTACTTTCTTACATTTATATAATATTTCCATTTGTCTTGCCAACTTACATCATTTACTGGCTAATTTAGGATTAAAAAGGATGTATTTTAGGGTGCTGTTTCCCTCTTCCCCCCTCCTCCCCAGGGCCTCATGCATGCTAGTCAGGCACTTTACCACTTTAGTTCGACTCCTTCTCTTTTTGGTGATTGTTTTTGAGATCGAATTTACTAACTTTGCCTTGGATAACCTTGAACTCTAGGTCTTCCTGCCTCGCTCCCCTCCCATGCCTCTCCCTCCTGTAGCTGGGATTAGAAGATGTGTACTACCAGGCCCAGGTAGATATTGAGTGCTAACTTTCCTAAATTGAATAGGCATTTCTTAATGAATATATTGTTTTATTGTGTCATAGTTCTGTTATTTAGCTTCTTAACAGTCATTGAAAAATCATTAACTATTCTTCACTCTGACTTTATAATGTGGGCACTATTTAGAAATCTTATGAAATTAACAGTGTATTTTAATGACAGTTAACAAGTTAGTTACTTCACAGTTTCTTCACAACAGCAGCATTATTCTCTTTCATTAAATTGTTTAGTTGCTGAACTTCACATAACCTATCTGCCTGTTGTTGTTAGTGTAATAATTATTGCTTTTAAAAAGATGAGTCTCTCTGTAAAATACCATCCTGCATTTATTTCCATTAATACTTGTACCTTGATTTCCATGCCAAAAGGCCTTGTATTATAGATGATGGATTATGTTTTATTGCCTGGATTTACTTTTCATAGACACTGCCCACCTGTTCCAAAATTAGCATGTTGATAATCCATCAGCATTATATTTTTATTTTTATCAGAAGTAAGTATCACTTGATATTTTTTCTTGCATATAGTGTAACTCTGACATGGTACAGTAGCTCAAAGAGATTTCATACTAAACCAGGACCAAATGACCAGCATTTAGTTACAGCTTTGCTTGAAAGCTTTTCTACTTCCTTAAATTATATTTTTTTCCTCAGAAACAAAGCACATCTATAGAGAGTAGTTTATCAGTTGTCCAGAAATGATTAGTTGTTTATGTGAAGTATTTTGTCTTGTGATATGAGAATAGAAGCCATTACTTTACTTTGAGTTTAAATTTTCCTACATACTATAAAGCACATATTACTGCTTTTGAAAGGTAAGGTACTCATACTGTGTTTGCTCTTTTCTTATAAGCAAACCTTATAAGGTTAGTGCTCAAAAAATTCTGATTGACATTCCAGTGACATGAATTTTTACTTGAGTGTTCTTTAATAAAAATATATTCCTTATAAAATGAATATAAGTATTTTCAAATTATAGAACATATAAAAAGGAAAAGGTGCATTTTTATGATTATTTTCTATTAATTTATAAAGAACAAATACTAATCATGTTGAATGAATTTTTATATTCTTGTAATTCATTGAACAGTAAATTTATGGCATCCCATATATATATTAGATTTCATAAGCTACAAATGTTAATGGTTAGCATTTTGTGTTGTTTCAACTTTATCTTAGCTTGCTCCCCTTATTTTTAGTATCATTTTAATGTAATTTTTTAAAAAATTTTTTTGGCGGGCCTGGGACTTGAACTCAGGGCTTTGTGCCAGCAAAGCAGTCACTCTACCTCCAGTCCCATTTTAATGTATTAAAAAAATATATTTAGTCACTATCTATGATTTATAAGTTTATACAATGTCATAATTCTTTCCTATAGTAATGCAACATCTAAATAATTACAATGCTATAAAATTCATTGTATTTCCAGCAGCAATTATCATAATTTATTTGCTTATTTCTTTGTTCCCATTTATATTGTTTTTAGTCTTATATTATTGCATATTATGGTAGGATAAGCAGCTTTGGCATTTTTTATTGTTTGGATTACTTCTCTGGGTTAGAGTTCTCCAAATCAAATTTTATAAGAATAGTATATAAACATTTTTATGATTTTTGATGGATATTGACAAATTGCTTTCCAAAGAGTTCTGTCACAATATTGTATAATTATGTCACCTTTTTCACATCCCTAAATGTTATCATTTATTCATTCACCTAATTCTTTGTGCAGAAATCTCTTTGTATATGTTTGATTATGAGTAACTGGGATTCATTACTTTTTACCATTTATCAGTTTTCTTTTTTGATGGTATTGGGTTTGAACTCAGAGCCTTGCACTTGCTAGGCCTTGCACTATGCTGCTTGAGCCACTCTCTCAGCAATTTTCTTCTTTTCTTACTTGCTCAAATGTCAGTTTATCTGAACCTTAACTTTTTTCTAGAGAGAATGTCTCCAGATTGTCCTTGAAGTCTCTGGGTAGCCCAGACTGGCTTCCAACTTGTGATCCATATTCCTTAGCCTCCTGAGTGCTGGTATTATAGTCTTAGTATTTATATTTCTCATTTGTATGAGAATTTAGTTTTGATAATTGTTACCTTTCCATATTAAACATTTCTTCTTTTCTTTTTATTACAATTAAACTTACTGGTTTTGCTTCTATATAAAAATGATTTAATTGTATGTAATCTGTTTTATTCTTGTATTTGCCTCTTTCAACAGGAAACTAATCATTAATATCATCAGTGGACATTGAATTCTAGTTTTAAAACTTTTTTTCCTCCTATCATAAAATATATTTTCATTATCTTTTAGCATCCTATATTGTCTAAGAAGTCTGGTGGTAGTCTGATTCTTAGTCTTTTTTAGGTAATCTATTACTTTTAGAATTTATTTTTAATCTATAAGGTAATAGGTGTCCAAGTATGCATTCCAGTTCCTATTTCTCAGTAAAACTGCTTAGGGTTTGGAGAAATGTAGATTGTATTTTTCTTCTTAATTCAAAACTTACATTTTTCTAGCTACCCTTTCTTATCCTTCATTATCTCTGTTCTCCCTTTCTGTAATGTCTGTTAAGTAGATCTTGTACCACTTGATCAAATCTTTATGTCTTTTAATTTTTCTTTCATCCTTTTTATATCATATTTGCTGTCTACTTACATAATATTTTCCTTTTTTTGATGATACTGTGGTTTGAACTCAGGGCCCTGTGCCTCCTTGGCAGGTGCTCCAGCTCTTGTGTCACGCTCCTAACCTGATCTATCCAATTTCTACTTAGTGGTAAAATTATAGAAATTATTCTTATTTTTTTGGGTGGTACTGGGGTTTGAACTCAGTCCCCGTGCTTGCTAGTCAGGTGATCTAAGAAATTCTTATTCTTTACTTGATTCATTTCATAAAATTAGACAAGCAGAGTCCGTCTATTGTCTATGGGTAAAAACTAGGTTGATAGTCAATAAAAATTCCTCAAAGAGTTAAACAAGGAGATACTGTTTGACTCCGTGGGTCTGTTTCTACATATTATACCCAAGAGAAATGAGATATTATGTCACACAAAAACTTGTGCATAAATGTTTATAGCAGCATTATTCATAGTAGACAAAAGATGGAATCAACCCAAGTATTCATTGGTGATGAGTGAATAAATAAGTTGTTTATGAATATCATGAAATATTACTTGACAGTAAAAGAAGTAAAGTTCTGATACATGCTAGTAATCTGTGAACCTTGAAAACAAGTGAAAGACTCTAGTAATATATAGGTCTATTTATATGAGATGTCCACAAAGAGCAAAAAATAGAGAAAGTAGATAAGTATTTGTTAGGGGTAGGTTGTGATAATGTGGAGAGGTTTGATTTTTGGGGTTTGGGCTTTGTTTTTTGTTCTAAAGTTGAACTATAAATTTATTTAGAACAATTGGATTGAATACTTTTAAGTAGATAAATTATGTGCTTTGTGAACTATATCTTAAAGCTCTTAGAAAAGGAAAGAAAGAAAGGAAGTGAAGAAGGTGGAAGGAGGGGGAGGAAAGCAGGGAAGGAAGGGAGAGGCAGGTAGTCTAGGAATCTATACAATTATCATACTAATGAGAATTTTACCATGACAGATTGGCACACTTCAGTTTTACTTCCTGCAAGGTAGATGAGGTTTGATACTATTTTGGTTTTCCGATATATCATTTTTAATAATTACTCTTATTTTATTGTATCTTCTATCATTGGTTTTTCAATTTTAGTATATTTGCTTTCTGTTAAACTACAATGTGTTATTTCTCAAACTTGCAGTCTACTTGATTTATCTTGCCTTATTTTGCAATGCTATTATGCTTTTGTTCATTTTTGATGTAAATAAAATGTAATATTTGACATTCAGTAAGATGTGGAAGAGGAAGTGAACATATGCTTCATCATATATCTTAAATAGAAGTATGCAGTTTTTATGCCTCTTAAAGTGATTCAGTGGTTACGTTAATAAGCAAGATTTTCCTACAGAAAACTCTTGGTTGTATGAAATGAGAAAAAAGACCCACTGATTTCTGTATAGTTGTCATTAACAAGTAATTCTGAGACTGCTGTTCTGATTTAGAGTAACCAGTTTGCTATATGTGATCTTCATTTGGCAATTTATTACTTTATTTTTACTTTCTGTAAAGGTTAATTTCAGTGTATGTATTTAAAATTCTTACACATTTATAGAAAAATTCCTCATGGAAATTTTGCATATTTGTTATATTGTACTTTAATTCATTTATTCAGCATGATTATATAATTTAAAATTTTTACCAGTTGTATTTTAATGCAATTCCAACCAGAAAAATTTGCATTGTAACAACTGACAGATGCTAACTTAGTTTTTTCTCCTGTGATTTCCTTGTAGGTTTGATGAACTCGTTAAAAAATTCAAAGTTGAATATCATGCTGGCGGCTCTACCCAGAATTCAATTAAAGTGGCTCAGGTTGGTTGATTATTTTAAAAATTGAAAAGAAAAAGATTCAAGATGATTCTAAACATCTGGTCATTTTACAGGTGTAATTGTTCCAATCTGTATTTTATTGCTGTAGAAGAGTTTTGTTCATTTTGAATTCAGAATTTAAGTCTGGCCATCTAATAAACAAAATTATTTTAGTGTTACTTTGCTATTGGTAAGCTTGGACATCTTTTAGCATCTTAGTTCATTTGCATTTCTTTTTAATTACTGGTATCTATACTACTTTATAATTTTTGCACATCATTGATTTATAAGAATTTTTTATATTTTGAGTATAATCTTCATTTTTGTCTTTAAATTGAAAGTATTTATTCCTTATTATTCATACATTAACTTGCTTATCTTTTACTGTGTCAGATTTCTTTTTTTTTGCAGTACTGGGGTTTGTACTTGGCCTGACTCTGGCAAGGCAGGTACTCTACCCCTTGAGCCACTCTGCCAGTCTTATGTCAAATTGCTTAATGTATCTTTTAAAGTTTTTTTTTTGTGTGGTGGTACTGGGCTTAAAATCTAGTATCTGAATTATGCCCCCAGCCCTTTTTCTTTAGTTTGTTTGTTTAGATTGGGTCTTGCACTTTTGCCTGGGTGTGGCTTTAGATCACTATCTCATCTTCCTACCTCTGTTTCCTACATAGTTGAAATTATAGGCAGGAACCATCACACTGAGCACTCAAAAGTTTTTAATGTGAATAAACTTTGTGGATTGTGAAGCCAGGTGTTGTTAAGTGCTGCTATAATTTTAGTTATTGGGAGGCTCAGGCAGGAGGATGGCAAATTTGAGGCCAGTCACGGGAACATAGTGTGATCCTGTTTCAAAACAAGACTTTATGGCTTTTGTATTTTATATGGTACATAGAAGGGACATTCCTACCACAAGATACTAAGAATTCTCTCACATTATGTATAGATACACAGATACAAATATATATATATAGATAGATCTCTGCACCTGTCTATATTGGGGCATGTCGTGTGTGTGTGTGTGTGTGTGTGTGTGTGTGTGTGTGTGTGTGTATTTCCATATGCATATGTATGTGGACCTATAAATTTGTACTTATACCCATATGTTTCATTGAGTAATGGAATAAACATATTTGAGTTAAACTCTTAAGTCAATAATCTTGTCTAATGTTGAGAGTTAGTGTTCTTTTTAAACCTCCAGCTTTGAAGGATATGGAAAGGCTTTGTATACTTTTAGTTCTTAACTCTTAATTTGAAAGCTAGCTCAGAATTCCACTCATTACAGTCATACATTTTCATGGACTGGGTTTTTTTTGTGGAACTGTGGTTCTAACTCAGGGCTTTGTGCTAGCAAAGCAGGTGCTTTACCACTTTAGTGGCACCTTCAGTCTATTTTGCTTTGGTTATTTTGGAGATGGGAGTCTCAAGAAGTATTTGCCTGGGGCAGCCTCAAACTGTGATCCTCCTGATCTCAGCCTCCCATTTAGCTAGAATTTTAGGCACGAGTCACTGCTGCTAGTATTCATTTTGCTTTTTTACTGATGAATGCTTTCCTTTTGAATTCTAATTAACTTCAAGAACTGGAGAAATGGAAAATTGAGAAATAAAATCTAGAGGATCTCTCTGTCTCTCTCTCTGTCTCTCTCTCTCTCCCTCTCTTTCTTTCTCTCTGTCTCTCTCTCTGTCTCTTGTTGACAGTACTGAGATTTGAAATCAGGGCTTTGCTATTGCTAGGCAACCATTCCTCACTTGAGTCATACCACCAGCCCTCTTTTTTCTTTCAGTTAACTGTGTTAAAAATATGCAGTATAATCATTCTATATACTTAAAAAGCTCACATTCAGTCATAGTAGTATAATATTGTAGGTTGTAATTGAGGAGATGCCTAGAGCATAAGGTCTTTGTACTTGTCAATTGATTTGTGTTTCTATAAAACAGTCCATTGGCCATTTTGTGAGAGTAGGGCAACAGAAAAAAAAAACCATGATTTACTTTTCTTGTCCTTAGATACTGTTTGCTTTGGCTGTCATTACAAAATACTAGTGACTGGGCAGATTAAACAACAGAAATTTATTTTTTCATAGTTCTTTCCTTTTTTTGTTTTCTTTTTTTTTTTGGCAGTATTGTGGCTTGAACTCAGAGCCTCACGCTTACTGGGCAGGTGCTCTACCACTCAAGCCACTCCACCAGCTCTATTTTTTCACAGTTCTGAAGTCCAAGATTAGGGTGCTGTCAGGATCATTTTTTTGAGAAGCCTCTCTTCCTGGCTTATAGATGGCTGCCTACTTTCGATGTCTTCACTTGGCCTTTCCTTTGCTCATTTGGAGAGAGCAATCTCTGGTATTTCTTCTTTTGTGGATACAAGTTCTATCAATTACAGCTCCACCCTGATGACTTCACTGTAACTGATTATCTCTTTAAATCTTCTCTTTTCAAATATAGTCACATCAAGGGTTAGGTCTTCCACATATCAGTTTTCAGGAGGAATGACACAGTTCTGTCAATAACATATATCTTCCATAAAACTTCCAGTTCATCAGAACTTATTCAGCCACCTCCTTAATCTTTTTTCCTCATAGATTTAGGAGCTAAATAAATTCTCTCCTTTGGGATCTTTATCAATTTCTATCTTCTCAAGGTTTATAAATTATATAATACCAAGTCTTCCTTTACATTGTTACCTGATGTTGGTCTCAATAATGAAGTAGTTGTTGCCTGTTGTTACTGTTTTGCATTTTCACAGTATTTCATATGCATTGTAACAATGCATTTGAGTAATGATTTATTTGTTCCTATCTTTAGCAAGTTAATAAAAGGATTTTGAAGGTTTAAACAGTTGGACCAATATTTTAAATTTTGTTATTTGTAGTATTTTTTGGGGATTTAATTCCTGTCTGATTCCTGGGCAAGCAGTCCTCTTTTGTACTATATGTATAGGATCCCCGTTCAGCTGTTGAAGATGCAAAAGTTAATAATGGACTTGGTCCGTACTCAAGAAACTTGCATCAAAATGGGAATTGTTTTAGAGATGGTGGGTGAGTTGGAAAAAGAGAACTCTGAATGGTTATTTTTAATAAAATGTTGAGAACAATCCTCTCCACTCCCAAAATGTGGCAAGGATTTACAGCAACCAGCATTAAAATACTGTTAATACTCCCATTTCTGAAAGCTCAAAAGCAAACTGTGTTTACCTCCAACATGACAGTCACTTCCTAGTTAAATAATGGCACTTCTCATTTTCCGATGGAACTTTTATCTCATGTCCTAGATTTTGGGACGTTTTTTAACTTGAACTAGGAAAACCAAAGGAGATACCTATGAATAGCTATTTTTCCCTTCCTAACTCCTAATGGGTTGACTGATTTGTCAACCTGTTTTGTAAAATTTGTCAAACTTTTTAGTGGAGCCTGAGGCTAGGGTAATGTTGGCTTCTAACTTTTAAAAGCATAATCATTCTTTTATTTTCTGTATTAGTGTCCACGTAAGACTTAATTCTTTTAAAAGTTGTACTGTCCATTTTACATCCACTAAAAGGCCTTCTATCACAAGAAATAAGCAAATGAAAAACAGAAAGTAACAGTATTTGGTGAGGATGTGGAAAAACTGGAGCCCTTACGTTCTGTGGAATTGTATGTCATGTGGCTGCTATGGAAAACAGGATGGTGGTTCCTCAGCGAATTGTTTTCTAACTCTAGGAGGAAAAATAATGAAAGATCAAAGAGGTAGCTGAATAAGTTCTGATAAAGCAAAGCTTTGGGGGAGGTGGTACTGAGATTTGGGTTTAGGATCTGATGTTTGCTGGATAGGTGCTCTACCACTTGAACTACCTTTCCAATTCTAAACTGAAGCTTTAAGTAGAATCTCAGCACTTTCACTTCTCAGTGTACTATGAACTGAATGTTTATGTTCCCTTAAATTTTATATTTTGAATCCCAAACTCCCATATGATGGTATGTGGAGATGGGATCATTGGGGAGATGATTAAGGTTAGATAACATCATAAGGATGGGTCCTAAGAATGGGATTAGTGACCTTATTAAGAGGTACTCAGAGAGTTGCTTCATCTTTCTCTACTATGTGAGGACACACAAAAAAGGCAGTTTTCTACACATCTAGAAGAGAGTCCTCACTAAAAACCAGATATGCTGACATCTTCATCTTGAACCTCCAGAACCATGGTAAGTGCATTTCTGTTGTTTAAGCCGTTCAGTCACTCATTCTGTATTTATTTTGTTACAGTATTCCAATGTAATACAGATACATTCCCAAAAGAATTGAAAATAGGATCTCAAAGAGATATTCCTACCTTATGTTCTAAACAGAATTATTCACAGTAGACAAAAGACGGAAGGAAAACTCACTTAATGTGATTTTTTTATTTAAACAGTAGTTGGCTTCTGTGGACATATTCTTAAAAGATGGCTATCATTGTTGCTGGATATAGAAAGGATTCTCTGCAGTAAAGTATTATCAAAACTTAGGGCAAAAAAGAAGTCTTTCTCTAATTTGGCAATATGTTGAGGATTGGAATGGGAAAAAATTATATTAAAATAGAAATTTACATGCCATTTCTTCAGAAGTGTTTGATGGCATTTTAAAAAGCTAGAAGGACCACAAACAACAAACAAGTGGCTTCATTTTTATCCATGAGACTGCTTCAAAACACAAGGGGAAATAAAATTCACCAGAAAAATAAACTCAAATGAACTAGAATTTTCTCAGTTCCTTTACTAAAACTTCAAGATAATTGGAATCCACTTTTGATGCTACAGGTTCTTATTACCTGTATGCTTTAAAACCATTTCTGTGAGAAAGAAAAGTTTAACTTAAGATGACATCCAGTGTGCTTCATTGTTTTAAAATCATGGATATTGTAGACATAGATAAACCTATATAATAAGTCTATAAATGTAAAAAACATGATCCAAAACAGTCATTCAGACACAAAATAGACATATTTTTTGTAGTTTGTCTAAACCCCTATGTTTGGACAATTCTAAGTATTC